CTCCTCTTCTTTCTTCTCTCCGTGCTGCTACTTGTCTGTCCTCGACGACAGCTCTAAAACGAGGCTAGATCTCGTTGAAGCTCTATAAATATATGCATTTCTAGTTATCTGAGCACACTTCTCTTTTGGATGCTGTTGTCTTAATAATCTTCGTTTGCAAATTCACGTGCAAGAATCGAGGAATTAGTATAATTTACATAAGGTGTCTATGTTGAATCGAAGACAATCAATAGGAGCGATATTTTATTAAACGGTATCTTGTTAATTATTATGAGATTATCGTTTTATTTAACAAATATTCGCAAAATTTTATTTAAAGTGAATTGAAAGGGAATATTACACATATTACTATACATGAAGATACGTTTGAAAAGATTTTTGTTCATGTTAATATATCGTTATTAAAGTTCCTACTTGTAAATCTTGAAGAGTCAAGTTCACAATAATTTTGAAACGGTATCGTTCATATAAATTATTACTCGTTTAGATTCTGATGTTGATTAACTTGAATAATACGTTTACTCGTAGCATAAATCATAAGTCATTTACGAGCAGTTCGAAAGAACAGGAAGCCCAAGTGGAAGTTAACTTGCATTTTGTAACGGTTGAAATTTCTTTACTATCCAGAAGACGAAGTCAAATGAGTTTTTAATAAAAAGTTGATGAAGGATATAGCTGTCTATCGTGACAAGGGCGAATCGGCAAAACCTTTGAAAACCTTTTAGAAATTGTGGACCACACGCATGCATACATCCCTTCTGAAGCAAAACGATCATCTGTATTGATTGTCGTCGTGATTAGTTCGCTACCCGAACCGCAGTCACGAAAAACTGACAGGCTGAACGACGCAGTCTCGTGTCTTCACAGTTGACATGGAATGCATCATGGGTTTTTCGTGACCCCTGGGCCCTGAGACTCTCTATGAGCTTGTCTTTCAATATTTGAGAAAAAGATAGAGCGAAACGACCCGGCGGCAAATTATTACGGTCACGTTTCAGTCTCCACTGTATATTTACACCGAGCCAGCGTTGCTGACAGCACAGTAACTTTCGAGAAAACAGGTGTCGGCTTTTTGTGCTACTGCTGCCAGGATGCGATGCCGCACTTGTCAAACTAACGATTTAATCTTCGCTCTTTCCACGCCACTCCTCCCGAAAATCGGTAGTTTTCTATTTTGACAGTCGGCTGTCGAAATTTTTCGTCACTCTATGTTAAATGACGACTTCGTCGTAGCAGTTTTAGACTTTGAAGAACCGATTTGTTTTCTTTAAAATGAAGAAGTTTAACTTGATGCTTTACATACAAAATGACTACCCTTAAGGGGACCAATAATATTTAGAGTAAATATTTAGAGTTTTCTTAATCATCATCTAAACATTCTAATACTGATATTGCTGTACAACTTTTTTCATTTTAAAGCACTCTAAATATACTACAATTTTCTTCGTTATAAGTGTACAAATTTCAATCATAGGCCCTATGAACTTACCGTTTACGTGACATTTTATTTAAAAAAAAAACGAAATAGTAGATTACGTACCCAGGCTGGTACGTATGGAATTATCAAAGTATTGATAAGTCCATATCACGAATTGATAATCAACGCGAAGCCGAGGTAATTCAAAATAATGTTTAAATAATTTTAATTAAAAATAGTATACGCATCACGGTCGGGTAATTGGCAAGCTCATAGCACGTGTTTGACAAGCGAGACGAAGACTCATAGGGTCTGCGATTTATCAAAAATTATAGCTTGTTTGTTTATCACAATTGAGAAAACTTAAAAAATTTAGTGCTAGATCATGGCTTAACGTGAAGGTCTCTTTAAGGTGAAAAATTTTTTAACGTTCAATACAAATACATTTTTTCTCTTCTTATATAACAGTGTGTACCAAAGCACCGTTTCTTTGCCGTTGAGTGATTGATTATAAATTGATGAACAATCTTGTCCGAGATATTGTTCAAAATTCTATAATTTACTCAGAAATGTGCATGTCGCGATTACTACAAAAAACAAGTGTACGAGTTGCGTATGTAAACCTGTAAATACCTGTCGGTATCAATTTATCGCACAAGTTTCTTCAACTTGTCTTTTTTGTTAACAATAGACGTGACAAAGTTGATTACGTTTGTATACCGATTAATTATTTCAATTTTTACGGGTTTCTAAGATTCTTGACGTTCTTCCATGGGCATGCTTGTTAGAATTTGTAAAAAGTAGACGTACCATATCATCTCGTAGCCCCATAAGGAGGTTGATTAAATTGCTGTGTTAATGGCAGAAATAAGTATGTTAAATAATCTTATATAGATTCAGTTGTTCAGATATTAGGTTATTATTTCGAGTTTTTGCCCCTGAAATACATCGATATGGTCTATTTTACGAAGATATCTTTTTTATTACTTCAATGTGCATTTTTCTTTTCCATATATAGTTTCAGAAAGTGTTGATATACGAGATAATCGGTTTAAAAAATCTGTTACAAATTATTAAAATTATTAAAGAATTTATTAATTGAATTTTTCTTAGGTTAGGTCGATAACATCCTTTCATTTAATAGAATCTGACAATTAGTGTCCAATGTTCTACGTATAAATTATTGATTATTTCAGTCAATGTTAAAAATGTTGTCTTTTTTATTTCTTGTTTCATCGATGGCATAGATCAATCACAATTGAACATAAAGTACTTACTCTATTATCATGTATGAATCACTGTTTAAAATTGAATAAGTAATTATTTAGCTACTGCGTTTTTGCTCTGAAAAGTAATTAGATCAATGAATAATGAACTATGATCGAAGTTCCAATCATTTTTATCCTTGAATTAAATTAATGTATGTATTAGAATACAAAAATTATTAAGTCAGTTTCGTGTATTGAAAAGATTTTGTCTAAAAAAATATGTATGACGAGAAATGGTAAAACTATAGTATAATGAGATGATGTGCGTTGGTCCCTACGTGTCTCATTATGGGTTAATTGGTTTGGTTTGGCAAATCATTTTAGCAAGCTTTCGTAAAAGCTTAAGCCTAGAACCGTGAGCAAGTAAACAATTAACTTTTTTTACGATTAACTTTCGGACAAGATTCATCTTATTTAACTTGTGTTTTCCAGTCGCATAGATTGATGCAATTCCAATGATTCTACTGTAACGGAATACGCAATCATACGTTTTTGTCGATATAATCGCTTGTTTGTCAAAGGCACTGCGAACAATGACAGACGCAAAAGTAATTGATGTTACAAAGAAATCGACCACGCAATATTCGAAGGATTACCTAGTTATTACGCAAGCTTGTATTTATTCGTAAATAGTATTTCATTTTAACGATATTTCTGTCTCCCCCCCTCTCTCTTTCTCTTTGTTCCAGGTAAGAGTATCAATATCTAGTTTAAACCAAATCTGTATGCTGGGCTGGTAGGCTTTGTTTGGTTGGTTTCATGCAAGAAAAAGTGCGAATGTAGGGGCTGATGCAAGCGGAGAAAAACGGAAACATATACAAATAAATTTGCCCACAGGACAGGCATTTTCCGGGGTGCTTATGAGGGTACCATAACGTCGATCACACTTTTGTTACTATCATGAACAGTATAGCTCTGGAATTTTCCGAGAGGAGAGCCGTCGATCTGACCTTTCTCTCTCTTTCCCTGTTTTACCTATTTGCGTGTAGACCAAAATCTCCTGTCTCGATTCCGCTCTTCTGGCACGAGCGTCATCCACCGCGAGCGCTCGTGTCTCTGGGAAAAAATAGGTTAACGCCACGTCCCTCGAGAGAGACAGAAGCAAGAGAGTAAGAGTCGGAGGGGGGCTAGCGGCTCTGCAAGGGGTAGAGGAGGACAAGACGGAAAGGGCGGAAGGAAGAGAGGATGCTAAGAGAGAGAGAGAGAGAGAGAGAGAGAGAAGGACGACGGTTATGAGGGGACGCACTTGCAGAGAGAGAGAGAGAGAGATTAACGAGTCGGAATCGAAGTAGGAGTATGAAATAGAAAAAACCCCTGGAAAGAAACATTTATTATTTCTTCTACGGAGCTAATGGACGAAAAAAAAATTTAATTAGCTTTCGTTAGTATTCTATTGCGCTGTCGCGAAAAAAAGCAAAATCTTGGTGAATTTCCGAATTAATTGCAATTATATAGTTGTACAAGTAGTCAATTAGTTTATTCTTTGAAAAATCCTTCTTTTCGTTTTTATATTTTAAAGTAATTAAACAACATGACATTATTTCTTAATTCATTACATATTTCTAAACAGTAACATTAAACCAAATAACAGTTCGAATTTTATACTTATTTAATCAAAAAAATTAATAGTAAAATTAAACATGAAAACTCGGATACAATAAAATTTTTTTAGTTTTCATTCTGGTATACTACTATATGACTTGTACTAAAACGAGAATATTGTATGAGCATTGTACATCTAGCTCTCATAAAATAATTGATCAGAGTTGCCTAGGAATTTCGCAGTTAGTCAGCTCAAGAAGAAAAATCAAGCGAACGAACCGTGCCCCACAAAACGTCGTCGAGAAAGCAAGCAAGCAAGCAAGCAAGCAAGCAAGCAAAAAAAAAAAAGAAAAGTAAAGAAGACCTAGAATACAAAAAATAGTATGCTCGCAAAAGAAAGCAGAGGCAAGAAGAATGGGTTCGGGCATACGTAGATTGACGAGTAGTAGTCTACGAGGTGGACAACAACGTCGTCGTCGTCGTGGCTGTTTCAGCTGTACTCGCTCTGGCTGTTCTCTCCCCTTCGAGATGCGCGCGCTGGCTGGCGCGTCGCTCTTTTCTGGTCCCTCGGCGTCTACGCCACTGTAGGCGCGGAGCGAGAGCGCCAGAGAGAGAGAGAGAGAGAGAGAGAGAGAGAGAGAGAGAGAGACGGAGAACTCATTGGCGTCAGCTCGGCGCTCGCTGTTCGCGTCTCTCACTCGCTCTCTCTCTCTTTCTCGTCCGACGCCAGCGCCGCCAAGCCACTTGGCTCCGCAGTAGTTATGCGACCGCCACCGAGGAGTGTGCAGCTCGCGATTCGGTCGCTCCTCTGTTAACTTGTGTGTACTGTTGTACACTCCCGAGTATATAATCTTCCTGATATGTGGAGTCGCGATATTTGCCGCTTGGAAAGAAATTAGCGATCGGTTCACGCAGGCATCATAGACACAGTGGATCCGCTCGATTTTCAAGGGAGCTGCTGCGCTTGTCTCGTCCACCGCTTGCAGTGAAAGAGAAGAGCGTCTCTCGCATTACATTCGTATACCTGCGCTGAGAGCGGCGACCGCTAGCATTGAGGGATGAAGCCGCATTGGAGGATCGGCCCAGCTCGGCGCATTCCCTGCGGCGACTGATTTTTGCACCGACAGTAAACCAATACACCATCACGCCAATCTACTAACGCCGAGTGCCGCCGTGTAACGCCACATAGCTATATTGTTCCTCAGTGAGTGACTAGCAACGCAACAGCGGCAAAACAAAGCAGGTGTACAATTCAGACTGGAGCGTAATCCTTTTACAATAAGGATTGTAAGAGTTGCAGTTTTTAACTGAAGAAACCGAGAATGATGATGGCTTGTGTGTTCGGCAGAAAACGGCAGCATCGCCAGCGGTACGTCGAAACAACGCCGACGTGACAGTCACGTGCTTTTTCCCCGGAAGAACGTCCGAGTTCACGTACCTGTCGTCATCGTCGTCGTCGTCGTCGTCATCATCGTTGTCGTTGTCGTTGTCGTTGTCGTTGTCGTTGTCGTTGTCGTTGTCGTGCGTTGTTACTTATACCATGTGAGTAGTGAGAATCGTGCTTTTTGTAGAGTCCAGAGTGAAAAACAAGCAGTGCTTATAGTTATTGAATTGAAGATCGTTTTGCAGTGTCGAAACTTCGAGACGGGATTGTTCGTGCGTTGGTTCGTATGATAGTGCGTTGTTTAGTGCGATGATCGACGCTAGATGACCAAGACAACAAACGGATAAAAAAAACAGACGACTAGGGGTATCAAAAGTAGCTAAGACGAGAGCTTGCTGGCCAGTGCCAAGGCAAGCAAGCGAGGACTCGAGTGGTGAAGAGGAGCCGTGCGCCGCGGAGAGGCGAGGCGAAGGAGGAATTGGATTTTAGATCAGCACAAGTCGGCCTGAGCGCCACCCCGGCCAACGTCATTCTGTCAACCCTGTCGTGCAGCCAAGGGGGCGCGAGCCAAGGCGGTAGCGTGTACGGCTCGAGCCTCGTGTTCGGCGAGACGGGTGGCGTCGTGGAGGGGGGAGTAATGCCGGTGAGGGTGGCGCCGCCCCCCCGAGGTGGAATACTCCACGGCGGCGTGCCGAACAGCGTGGTCAGCCAGGGCGGCCCAGGGCCCAACTCGCAGGCAGCCGCCGCGGCGGCGGCCGCAGCGGCGGCTGCGGCCCGCTGCGGCCTGGGTCAGGCCAACCCCAACGGTAGCCCGCCGCTGCCGGGCTCGTTGCAGCTGGGTCCGGGGGGTTCGCAGGGTCCGCCCGGCGGGCCCAACCAGCCGGGACAGCCCAGCCAGGCCCAGGCGGGGCCGGGCAGCGTGGGCCCGGGTGGGCCAGTGCCGCAGCCGCCCAACCCGCTGCAGGCCATGGCCTCGGCCGCGGCCTCGCTCACCCAGCTGAACAACATGGCCAACGGGCCTCTGCCTCCGATGAGCCAGGGGCCGCAGGGCCCGCCGAGCCTGCCGCCGCCGCAGCCCGCCACCACGCCCACGCACGGCGGCCCGCCGACGCCACACCAGCCGGGAGTCCCGGGGCCCCACCTCAACGGGGCCTCGCCCAGCCCGCATCCTATGCCCCACGGCATGATGAGCGGCTCGCCGCATCACCCGGGTACCCACATGGGCCCCGGCGGCCCGTCGCCGCATCCGCACCATCCGGGCCCTCACATGGTCGGCTCGCCTCACCACCCGGGCCCTCACATGGGCCCCGGCGGACCGATGGGTCCCATGGGTCCGGGGGGCATGCCGCCCCAAGGTGGGCCGGGGATGTGCGGGCCTGGCGGACCCGGCATGATGGGCCCGCACGGACCTCATCCGCAAGGCCCTGGTCCCGTGCCCGGGCAGCCGCACATGCACAGCGACCCGTTCTACGGGGCGCCCTTCGGATCGCCATACTTCAGGTGAGCATCGCGGCGTCGCGCCAGTGAAATCAAGTCGGCCGGTTGTCAATTTTTCACAATTAGCAATAGAGGAAAGAGCGAGAGAATGACAAACGAGTGAGCGCGCTCGAGCTGCACTTGTCGATGCGCTTTATGAAATTTACATCTAGCGACTTTAATCAAATGCGTATATGCACGATGCTAATGCGCTTGTCGTCGCCGCTATTTATCAGCAGCCGATCATTTATTGTGTCTCGCGAGCCGTAAAACGGCTCGCGGGATAAGCGTGTATTTCTCAAAGCCGGCTATATTCTCTCTCTTTCTCTCCTCCGTCTCTCTTCCATAAATCTTTGCCCCGGCCGCGTGCAACAGCATTGCACGGAGCGCGCATTATACATGCTAAACTTCCATCCGCGTTCTTTTAACGACTTGCCGAGGAAAAACCACCGTCGGGGTGACGACAATTTTACAATGAAAGCTGCTACATTGATTTCCCGAATGTTTCGATGTATCGATTTGGAAGGTTCGGTGAACTCTGCGATCGTCTGTCGGATTACACTCACTTAAACGCCGCGTCCATTTTTAGTAACGGCCTCTCGGAAAATCGATCGGGTCTTTGGAATATTGAAAATATCTGTTTTTGCCGCGTGGAGCGTCTGCATAATTGGCCAAAATCTCGGGAACGGAAAGTCGCTAGATCGCGATCCCCGGGCGTGTGGCGTGTACGTGTTCATTGTAATGTCACCGGTTCTTCTCCGACGCGCCGCTTCGACTGAGCTTGCGCGGAGAGCGTGTGCCGCTTAACAGTATTGCCCGAGAATCCGTTATCGGCCAAAGCAGCTCACCAATGCCGACGAATCCTCTCCAGCGCGAGATGAGATTGTACGAGCCTAACATTTACATACGGAGGAGAAAAGTGCCGTACGCGCGTGCTTCTTTCTTTCCGACTCGCTGTTAATGCTTATCTGCGTATCAATTTCACCAAATCGCAAGCTCGGCTAGGAACGGATGCTCTAAAAATATCCGTGCCTCCACGCGTGGATATCTGCAGGTTCGTCCAAAGCGACGTTCGTGTCCTCGAGCTCTAGCATGTTACCTTCTTGGTTTTTTTTTCCCTGGTCCTCTGACGACGCGCCTTCTAGCCTATCAGACTAGTCGACGACGGCGACGAGTTCAACTCGTGTGGTCTGGCGTCCTTGGACACGGCTGCTGCCGATCGCGCCACGTAAAATAATTCATTCGCTCGCCGCTCTCTCTTAGTCTCCCACTCGGCGCGTCTGTTGATTTTTTCTTTTACCTCGTGGAATCTTGGCCGGTTTTACGGCTAAATTCGTCGGATCGCCGCGAATAATTGGACTCGGATGCTGTCCTCCTCGCTCTTTTTCTTCACGAGGACATAATATTTCAATAGCTCGCTTTGGCAAACACTGCCCGGTGCGTTATTCAGTATTAGGCTAATCGTCTCGCGCTAAAGCAGACCGTTCTTTCTTTTTCATTCGAGGGACAAAGGGAATCTCGCACGCGCGATCGATCGCGACGCAAAAAGAAAAATTGCACGGCTTCGAACTAGGTTGCAAACTTGGACGGTGGATGTAGTTCGATCGCATGTCGATAATATGTGGTGTAGCGGTGCGCGTGCAGGCATTTTTCGCAAGCGAATCGCGACTATTCTCTTTCGCGCGACACACGCACACACTTCCGAGGTCACCTCGAACTGAGCGTCAGGTCGACCGTATGCGCGTGTACGTGTGTACGTGTACACTCTCCGTTGCAGATGCGAACGACTCTGTTTTTTTTTCTTCTATTCGATTTTTCTAGAACTTGCCGTGCTGCTTCTATAATCACGTAGAATAAATCATTATATTTCATATCGATTTATTCCATTAAGCATACTCCATACTTTTCACTGCGTAGTATGATCACGTGACCATTGGCAGATGAGATTTTTCTTTTTGGTCTTAATAGCGCGAAACAGTGACGATCCTGCAGTCGCGCGCGAACTTGACGTTTTTCGCTAATAACTAATGAACAATTCGAAAGCAAAGGAAAAATAAAATACTGAAAATGAGCGAAGGTAAGGCAAGAACCGGAGACTTTTGCCTACAGGTGTCTCGCGTTCTAGATCGCAGGTGAAAGAGAGAGGGAGAAGGCAGGTGTCCATGCCCAAAAAACATTTCCTCTCGCACATTGTCTCGTCTTGCGTTTATTTTCTCTCTCTCTCTCTCTCTCTCTCTCTCTCTCTCTCTCTCTCTCTCTCTCTCTCTCTCTCTCTCTCTCTCTCTCTCTCTCTTTCTTGTGCGGAAATAACGAGCGATCGTTAGCAGTTCAACCTGTCTTCTTAGCCTTCCACGATGCAGCGTGAAAACGCGAGGAATTATACTGCAGTGATTAGGCTACTTTGTAATCTTTAATTTTCCTAATTCTCCAACGAAGGGCTTGTCTATCCCCGTTTCCGATTCTGACGCCGCGCATAAATCGTTGAAAAGGTGCGTTATAAAATGAAACTCGAGCTCACGTCGACGTCGCTTCTTATCTAATCGGCACGACAACCACGGGCAAGGATAAGAAGGACCTTGGTCGTTCACACGCTCGAGCGAAGCGTAACGAAGAGGTTGAAAATCGTTGCGATTTGTTTTTTGTTTATGAGCTACCGTCGTCGCGATAGACTACACGTTTGCGAGCGAAAAAGTTTAAACGATAACTCGATACGCATAATGATTCATCGAATCTTCGAGAGATGTCAAGGTTTTTCTTGTCGCGCGCGCGCGCATCGTCAATACGACGATCGATGCGTAAGTGGTTGAGATTATCAGCAGGAAAATGTCAGGGAAAAAAAGGTCAGTCTTTTGCGCGCGATCAATGTTGTGCAACGTATGTCGCATCGGCTTTGTCGACCAATCAGAAAAACGCGATGTGCTAGCTTTTCAAAAGAGAGACAGAGTGAGAGAGAGAGAGAGAGAGTTGTCTACCTGGGGTTAGATTAGCGAAAAGATCGAATGCGACAGAGAGGGACCGAAGTGGGCATTGTGTGAACCGCGGGGAAACGGAGCTTCTTTAGAAACTTCATTGCAGGTGCAGAGCTACTCTATGGGGCAGGTGCATTTGCGTTTTTGCCATCTACAACGTTATCTTCAGTGTTTAATGCTCGGCTGAATAATTTTCACATATTTCCCTGCCAGTGTATTCAACTCTTTGTAGGTTTTCTTTTTTTTATTTTCGAGAAAGTACGGAAACGGTTTGTTGACGATGTTGGATATATTGTCACCATAACGGATATAGGTTGGCGTAAATAATTATACAGTCGAGGACTTGCGCAACACAGCTGTTTCCCGTGTAAAACATAAAAGCGAACGTACGAAATCAATCCATCGTTCGACATAGAAGATCTTTGTTGCTGCATCGCAGCAACTGAAAAAGTCTGCGAAAATTGTGTGTATGCGTGCACGATAATTGCCGATTGGATAACCGCGAGGTTATCGGTCTCTCTCTCTCTCTCTCTCACTCACTCTCTCTCTCACTCTCTCACACTTTACAGTGATGATACGTCGTCCGTCGTTGCCTTCGTATAGAGAAAAATCATTGGATTCTCTCAAGAGAAAGTACCAATCGATTTGGTGTGGGTTTGTTTACCTCTTTATCAATGCCCGATAACGCGAATAATATAAAATATCAACTAGTTTTCAACGTACGGCTATAATATTGAATGATAAGCACATATAATTTGTCTTTCTGACTTGCTAAGAATATATACTTACACATCAGTTGGCGTCCCAGAGCCGTTCAAGTGCATTTTTCGAGATATTCTCGTGAGATAGGCAAATCATTTTTGACGATTGCTGCTACAATTTTAAATTCCTTAATAATCTTTTTTCTTCATACAGGTTGATGTTTTAGATTCCAAAGCTAAATCACTTTTAAGTCGATTTAACTTAGTCTGTATCAAAGTTTAATTGAATAATCAATTGTAATATTTAACAAGGGCATGCATTAGGACACGACTCAGCACTGGCTGATAATATTTTAAGAGTAATAACTTTATAATTGACACATTTATAGGCGTTTACTCGATTCATCCAATTATATTTCAAGGAATTTTTGCGGCATACACCAGTCTTACGATGACAAGTACAAACAGTAAGCATTCAATGTTTCATAGCCGATCGGTTCTGCTGAGACACCACATATCGATCGTCAATTGGCACAACCCAGTAACTTTTGCGCCCGTGCCCGAGTGCGTTATTATCTTATCAACCGTTGTTGCTGCGTGATAGGCAGCAGGTCTCTCTCTCCCTCTCTTTTTTCTTTCTCTCTCGCTGCCTAGTTCAAGTTTGTTATGGTTAATGTGCACGTTCCGAGGTGCGCGCGTGAGCGTCGATTAAAAATAGTACATCGCATAGCTTACGTAAAAGCGCCGTTCCTTCCCGACTCATCTCCTCATGCAACCATTCAAAAAGATAAAGAAAAAAAAAAAAAAACGAAAAAAAAAACTTGGAAATAACAGGGTTTCGCTTCTTCGCCCGCGTGATCATGACGTCGTTGCATTCCACGACAGTGCGGCGTGACCGAAAAAGGCCCTTCCTTTGCCGAGTTCCGCCAGATAAGTTCCTGTCGAGGGCAGGTTGTTTTGAATTCTTCATGTTTTATATGCGCGTACGACAATTGTTCGTTCGAAGCCAAGCGTAAGTGTCGTTAGATAACGGTCAGCGCGAGCGCGAGAAAATTAGCAATTCGAGAAGCTGCCTTACGGCAAGTGCATTACTCTGTACAATTTAGTTCTGAAACTGGCAACTCGTGACCAAATGGATATATCCAGTCTCTCGCTCTCACTCGCAGGATGTATAACTCGATAGCAAAACTTTCTCCCCTCGTCGCCCGAGAGAAGCATGTGCAAATTTTCAAAAGTCCTTTTGAATTCGCAGCTCGCCCCCCCCCCCTGCTCCCACTCCTCTCGTCCACCCGACTAAATTGCCATTGTAAAACTCGTGTACGCAGTTTCTCATCTAGTTCTAATCAAAATACAA